CCTCCTCACCCCCTTTTCTCAGAACGGCTTCTGGGAGGAGAAGGATGAAGCGGGAGAGATCAATCTTTGAAGCCTTCCTAACAAAGATAAAGCCAACGATTTTCTGTCTTGTTTCAAAAGGTTTACCTCTCCCCCGCCTTGCTCTGGCCTTTCCCACAGGCCAGTGTGGAGACCGGCTCTATCATAGGAATGACTAGCAGAAGGCAGTTAGTTTTCTACCCAAATACCTTCGGACCCAGCTTCGGCCCCAGAGGGAGAGATTTAAAAGAATTTTTTAAAAAAACTTGGCTCCTACTTGCCTTATTTTGTGTACATGAAAGGTGTCCAACACACCCTCCGCCAAAGAAACACACGCACACACACCCTTTATCATTTTTCCACATTTCCCCTCTTGTTTGAACACAAACATAAAAACAATTGCTCCTTTAAGACACCCCAGCAAAAGCACAAATGCTTCATTCGGTAAGCCTGTCCTCTGATCCCACTAAGAGTTTTTAACTGTTGTGATAGAAATAATTAGACTTCAGGGGCTCATTTTTATAAAATATTTTAAAATTTGATATTTTTTAACAGTCACAAGAAAAATTTTTGAAGGGGACACCAATTGACAAATCAATCTTTCCGTATGCGGAAAAAAATGCATGTTTACTAGGATCACCAAAAGTACATAAAGATCTTCTTAAGAAGAGGGGACTAAATCAAAAGAAAAGAAGCCAACATTTCAGTTAAAAATAATTGGTAGTTTGAAAAGAACGTTCCTCTTTCTTCCTGAAATTTGGGGTTAGACTATTGGATGAGGCCTTTGATTTTGTACAATAAGGGAAGAGAGTGGAGACCCCAAGCTCCAGTTGGGATTTTCTGGTTCTTGTCCCAGTTATGCTACTAAACTCGCTGTTGTCACCTTGGATAAGTCATTTCCCTTCGCTGGGACATTTCCAAGTAGGTATATTTCTAAGACGCTGTACCCTCCTGCACCCTGGCCATTTCTCCAGTTAAGTATCTGGGGCAGCGGCAAAACTTCAAAGACGACTTCAATCTTGCCTCCCTGGGGGTCCCTGGGGCCTGGCCTAATTATACGGCCTTGGGGCACAGCCTGCAGCCCCTCTCCCTCGCCTGCGGCTGTGCTGATCGCTCCGGGAGATAAGGCACAGCTCCAAGCGCGGCGTCCGGATGCGGGCCGCGGGCCTGGGCGGCCGCGCGCATTAGCCTCTCAATGGAGACCTTCCGGGGCCCCGGCCCCCCGCCGTCTCCAGCAGCATCCGGAGCGGGAAAGGCGCCGAACTGGAAGGGGGGAGGGCTCTCCTCGGTCAAGACCAGAGCCTTCTCCCAGCAGCGCACACGCGCGACTCCGAGACTCGCCCCCCACCCGCACGCCCCAGCGCACCCCACGTGTTTCTGGAACAGGGACCCAGGGGTTTAGCCGGACCCCCTCATCGTCACCACCGTCCCGGGAAACCTGTCATTAAAACCAATTAACGTTTCCCACACCCGTGGCCGGTCACAACCCGCTGCTAGCTTCCTCCCCGGCTCCTAAGTGCAACCAGATGGGCGGGCGAGCTGCCCCCGCCGCGCGCCA